GCGGAGCGGGGAGGGGGGGAGAAGCCGAGGGGAGGGCTGGGCTGGCGCGGTGCCGGCCCCTGTCGCCGATAGGGCAGCAGCAGGTCCCTGTGACCTGCCACAGGGCAGCCAGGCTGTGGCCAAGGTGTCCCCACGAGGACAGACATGCCAGGTCCCCACACACCCCTCTCCACAGTAGCCCCGGGCTTCATCCTGCCCTGTCAGGTGGCCACCCCACTCCCAGCAACAGCCCCCATCCCCTCGCCAGCCCCCGGCGCCGAGCAGGGAAGCATGGAAGAGCCATCATCTTACCGCTCCACGATGTCCGCGATGGTGCAGGCGAACATGAGGAGCCCCTCTGGCATCTGCAGAGCCACTGGGAAGAGAAACAGCCCCGGGGTTAGGAGGGAATGCCCCGAAACAGGGACCTGGGCACCAACCTCTGGGACCAACACATCCAGCTCGAGCAGCAGTCACAGGAATGACCCTTCCCAAAACAGCCAGAAATTGGCCAAACCCCCAATGGCTCTGGCAGCTGGGGTGCCCGTGGTTCTGCCTGGGGCCATATCCATCCTCCTGGTCCCTGCACAGACTCCTCATCCCTTTTTCAACCCGCTGACACTGCTGGTCTCTGCTGCTTTCCACAGTAATGAGTTCCAGATTTTAATTACGTGCTGCACAGGAAAAGGTACTTTCTTCTGTTTATTTTAAACCTGCTCCTAATAATGTAAACTCATGCCCCTGATTCTCCTGGTACAGGAGGAGTGAATAATCATCCCCTGCTCAGGCTCTCCAGATCCTTCACATTTCTATACCCCTCTATCATATCCCCCTTCGTCTGCTTCTTTTCCAGCTAAAGGATCTAAATCTATTTAATCTCTCCTTGTATAGAAGCTGCTCCAAACCTTTGATCATCCTCACTGCCCTTCTCTGCACCTCCCCTCCCTGCTTCTCTCCCCCTTTTGGGAGGGTGGCCAGCAAAAACAGGAATGTATTCATCAGTGAATAATGCTTCCCTGTTTGCTCCCTGCTTGAAGTCGGGAACAATCCCTTTGCCTCTGCAGTCCAGCTGAGCCTCCCAGTGCCCAGGGTTCAGCCAGGAGCCCCCCATGGGTCCCACCAAGCTGCCTTGCTAGGGAGGAGCAGGGATCACACTGGGGAAGATGAATGGAAGAGGCTCCATTAACCCTGCTGTTGTTTCACCTCCTGATCCCACTAAGACATCCCAGCTCCAGTGATATGTAACCAAAAATCCCCTCCAGATTCCTCACTCCAACAGAAACCACTGTGTTGCCAAGGCCAGTGTGGAGCTGTGTAGAAGACCTTGCTCAAAATGGGTTGATCCCACCCTGCTCCAACCCACTGGGCCTGAGGAAAGCTGTGCACACCCTGCCAGCCTGGCCAGCTCAGGGGCCTGGTGTCCTCCAGCATCACCAGCACATTTGGGACCACCTTGGGACTGCCCTCCACCCCAGACTGCCCCACAAAAAGCAGACCTGAAAACAGGGTGGGGGTGGCAGGAGGCAGCCGGGTCGCCCCTCAATGGCAGGGCACTCTGGGGACTAGGGGTGACACCCCAGCCCCCCCCAAACCCTGCAGCAGGCAGGGAGCAGGCAGGGCTGGCCAGGAGGCTGCGTTCCCCCAGCAACCAGCCCCTGGCTGGCGCAGGTTCTTAAATCCCAGCACGGCTGGCTGGCTGATGGGCTCTGCTCCCAGCTCCCAAGCCTAAATCCCAGCCGCATATTTACATTTAATTAGGAGGTGCCAAGCAGCAAAACACGGCAGTGAGAGCTGGAGCAGCACGGCTGGGGAGCCTGGTCTGGTCCAACTGAGCAGCCCTGCCTCTGCCTCCTGCTCCACAGCTGGGTTGGGACCAGCTCCTGCAGCAGCTCCCAGAGCATCCCCTGTGACACCCACCAGCTCTGCCAGCTCGGTGGCAGCAGGCAGAGACATTCCCTAGTGGACACAGCATTCCAGATCTGGCTCTGCCCAGAGCCCCCAGCACTGCACAACTGTGTGATTAGCCCATGGCTGTGCAGGAGGAGAGGGTGGGGAGGTTAGTGACACCCAGGGACAGAAGGGGACACTCAGAGCTGGCTCAGCCACAGTGGGATGCACATGCTGGGAAGGGAACAGCCCTGGCACCATCCCAGCATCTCCTCTAGGGCCAACATGACCACTCCTTCCCCCTCTGGGGCTACAGCAAACCTCCCCAAAAGGTTCAGCCCAGGGTATTGCACGGCCCAAGCTCCCCCTCAGCCCCTCCAGCCCCAGGAACCGGGCATTGTGGGGCTTCCCCTGCCCAGCTCCAGCAGCGTGGCAGGAAAGTACAGGGAGAGAGGAGAGGAGAGCAGCAGGGAGCTGGCCAGCATCCCAGACACATCTTGCAGGCTGACAGGTCCACACAGCTCAACCTCTCCTGTCCAATGTGATTATAATCCGGAGATACAGATCTATTAACCCCCCTCGGGGGGAAGAGAGCTCGCCAAGACAGAGTCTAAAGATGCCAGGCCACGCTGGGCAGCTTGGCACCATCCCTGCCCCAGCCTCAGCAGCCTCACATCCAGCCCCAGCAGGTCCCCACGCCGCTAGGGAGCTCAACAGCACCAACCCCCAAA